CTTTTTGCACAACTCGGTGATGTTTGGTTTCTTCGTCGAAACGGCTGTTGCCACTCTAACCTCAGCCACCTCGCTACTTTCATGTATTGGGAATGAACCGTACTTCGTGACCACCTTACCGCTTCTTAGGTCAACTATGGCTTTTACTTCTCTTAGGAAATCTGCTCCTAATATTGGTCTCGACAGGTTTGCGGTTACCACGAACGGAAAACTTATCTCCGAACCATCCACTTTTACGATACTGTTAGACACACCCAATACCTCTAACATGTGCCCTCCTATAGTGTGAACTGCTACTTTACACGGCTTGAATCTCTTACATTGCTCTTTACCTATTAACGAAACTGCTGCCCCTGTATCGATTAGGCACACTAAATCTAGTTCATTTACGTTCACTCTTGCATAGACTGCCCCTCTATCTACTAATGCAACAACCCCCAGATCCCTAGAGTAAGAAGGAAACACGTAACGTCTAAAATGTCTCCGTTTTAGTCGTGTTGGACAGCTTATCTTCCAGTGTCCTGTCCCTCCACATGCGAAACACTTATCATTCCTTTTACGAGTCACTCGTAATGCCGCAATCTCGTGCTGCAGTTCTTCAATCTTCTCAATGCTGCTTATCTTCTGACTTCCGCACGCGACCGGAGCTACTGTTCGTGTCATCAACTGTCGCGTCACCTTTGCAAGCTCACTGATATCCATAGGTTGCGCGGCGTGTACCAGTCTCAGCTGCTGGAAAACGGCAACAGGCACGCTCTCGATAAACTGCGACGCCAACAACTGTGTCTCCGACTACTCATCCAGATTTGGCAGCGCGCGACGCAGCAACTTGGTAAGCTCCACGGCCAGCACCAGCGGATCGCCATCGATCGGCAACTTCGCCACTCGGAACTTCTGCAGTGCTTCTTCTCTGTCCACTGGGCTATCGAACTCCACGATCAACCGCTCCGTGACTGCCTCCCATGTCGTCTTACCGCCCGCACCGTCCGGGCTGTCATATACAGCTTTCACTCTGCCTCTCAGCAGCGTCCCCAGGACCACCGTCTTCGCCTTCGGCTCCTTCACTCCCACCAGCTCCGCTACAGCCTCGAACTCCTTCAGGAAGCCCAGAACACCTTCGTCTTCGAATTCCTTCGGCCATGGGATCTTCATCCTTGGAGGCGGCGACACCAAATGTTGTGAATGAGAACACAGGTGAGGACAACCAACTATGTATTTAGCACAAATTACAACGTTACTTGGTAAAATATAAAAACCATGCTATGATACACTATTTGCAAAATGTTCTTCAATTGCTTCAGGCTTCATTGTTCCTGGATTTCCACACAAATTGCTTTTTATTTCTGTTCTTCTCTTCTTGGTCTTCTCAATCTTCTGCTGTCAGATATTCTATTCCTTACTCACCATATATACTACTTATGTAGATACCAGTAGCTCACACCACAGTATCAACCCTCATACCCGTAACAGAACACGAGACCAAGTTGGTCACAATCAAATCCTTCCTACAACTCCTAATAACTCTCTTATATCCACCACTAACCCTTCTCACGTTCTTTTATCACCTCGCACCGCTGAGGCAAACGATTCGAGTACACGGAACGTTATTCCTGGTCTCTTGAAACAACGCTCTGAAATACATGTAAGAACTTTTAACGTCCGAACATTGTGCCACCTGGGTGGATGTCATGGTGTTGTGGCTAAAAGAACAGATAATGGCTACCGTCTGTTGCAACTATGCTCAGATAACCGTCTGTTTCTTGCAAATACTAACTTCAAGCACAAGAAAAAACATCTTTTGACATGGCGACCCCAAAAATCGTCCCAACGTTGAGCCCAACTAGATCACATCGCTATCAGCCACCGATGGAAGGGCTCGATAGAAGACTCGCTCGTTCTGGAGCACATGCTCAGATTCAGATTATGCTCTAGTGCGAGCACGTACCTGTCTGCGTCTTACTGGACGTAGGAAAGACGCTACAAGGAAACCTCTTAATGTTTTGCTTAATGATAGTCAAGCTAAGAGTATATTTCAGGAGCAACTGGGTAAACAGCTAGTCAGTCATGTTAGTGATGCCCACCCTGAGACAGCTTGGAACAATATCCGAAAATCTGTGAAAAAGCTATAGGAAATCTGAAACGTCGGAGAGCAGCAGGCCCTGACAGGTTTACCCCTGAGACTTTTAAGGATGGCGGTCCAGTACTAGCAGCGAGATCGACTGAGGTCTTAGGTAGGATCTGGGAACTAGACGTGAATCCGTCTGACAGGTACCAATCATTGATTGGGTCAGTCTATAGGAATGGACAAAAGTCCTTTTGACATTCACAGAGGAGTCAGTTTGACTACTATAGTGTCTAAAATATTAGCTTCAATAATACTTCGACGCATAAAGAAAGCCCGTGAAGAGCAGACTAGAGAAAAGCAGGCTGGTTTCCGTTCTGGACGTGGTTGTATAGACCAGATATTCACACTACACCCCACAATAGTAGTATTTCTCGACCCTAAGGCGGCACTTGACTCTGGTGATCGTGAAGTTCTGTGACAGTGTTTGTCACTGAAAGGAGTACCAAAGAAGTACATTAACTTTATAAAGGCTCCCTACTCGAACACAACTGACCGAATGAGAGCTTATGGCGAACTGTCATCAGAATTGATTACCTCAAGTGGTGTTCGTCAGGGCTGTCCACTCTCTTCCTTATTGTTTAACTTCATCGTAGACGTGCTATTAGAAATAACACTTTCCTTGAATGACATGGCTCAAAATCATTTGCAATGGCGTAGGTGCATCCACTCTTCGTCTTCTAAATTCTAATCTTCTGAGTTCTTGACGTCTCTGTCTTTTCTCTCTTTCCAAATTTATTTCACTGGATTATATTCCTTGAATAACGTCTTCAAACCCTAATCTTTCAGATTACTGCTTATACTCTTACTACTTCTACCACTATGGGATTTGAATCGAGAACTGCATCTCTGTGCTGATGTACGTACGTACGAAGTTCTACGTTGTGACGATTGACGCTCAGTGATGAGAAATTTATTGATATTTGTCATCCCTGATTAAAAAATCACAACATCCACGAATAGAGATTACTTGACTAGTAATATTCAAAATCGAAACTTTGGTAGGCTTAATTATAACATCGAGATTTAGTGACTTCAACTTCTCAACCGAAATGATAAACTTGATACTGCCAGTGTCAACAATAAAATCGTGAAAAACACCGCTGGACAGATATAATCTTTTCTGAATTTGAAGTGAATTACTGGAAGTTGTAAATAAGGATGATATATGATCATTAGAATCAACCGAATTAATAGGGTGTGAGTGATGAAGTTCAGTATTACCTGTAGATAAATGCACAGTAGTTTTAAAACTGTTTGGATGTGTCCAATTTTACCACATTCAAAGCATTTAACATAACGAAATACATGAATTACGTGAATGAAATTTGCCGCAGGACAAACATTTACCAAACTTGTGCTCATTTTTGTGACCTGCTTTGAAATTCTCCAATGAATTGTCTGTATGACCTTGATTCCTCATTGAATTGAGTTAACTAAGTGGTGTAGTGGAATTCTTGATGTTCATGCACTGTCTCATGATTAATACACTCAGTTCTAACATCTTGAAAAGAACAGTTCAACATTTGCAAGAGCTATCTTTCCAGATTAAGTATGCTGGTCCCTGAAATCGATCACACAGCTGCACATGAAGTTGATCACCAAAATTGCACTTGGCGACTTGTTTCTGCAGTTCAAGGATAAATTCTCTAATCTTTTGGTTATTCTGACGAATCATTTTATGAAATTTCGCCCTTTCACAGCATTCGAAATAAGTACACTTTACATGATTTAGTTGTAGTTCTTCGAGAATTGCGAAAGGAGGTGAAATATGTTAATCTAGAAATGCCAAAGTTTGTAGTAGGCTGCAAGCATTCTTTCCGATGGATGTGATGAAGTAAATCACAATTTTATCATCCTTAATATCTTTCCTGACCGTACTCTAGATTACAAACCTTTCAATGTGTTCTTCGAAATCTTCAGAATTTGAATTTACATCCAACTGTTCAAACATAGGCTTCATCGCGATGCCAGTACGACAATTCGAATTATCCAAATTATTGTGCTAACTATGAATTCCTGAAATAGTGCAATTTACGGCAAGTAGAACTATTTGAGCACAAACGAACGTATTGTAATCAAATACAAAAAATCATTAGTTTGCACAAATACCACATGTAACCATGGGTCTGAGTATTGTATATAAGTCCTGGGGTATTGCATCGATTGGTTTCAGACTATTTAATGATTGAGCCAACTGTCGTTCACTCTTCTTTGGGGTCGTTCTTAGGCGACAGTTTCTGAAATTTGCCTTGATCACCAAGTATCGTGTCCATTTTTTCTATATAGACTGTTTTATTCATTAGAAATATCCCTGACTCTTTATCAGGTTTGCCAACCACTATGTTTCCATTCGTTTTTTGGTCTAGGTAGAGAATCCTTAAACCTTTCAGTCAGAATATTATCTGTACCGTGTTTACAGTTGATATCATTATGGAAACAATCTTTCAAAACAATTGCATATATTCTGAAATCTCACACCGATGTGTAGCCTGATTTATCTATTTAACATCATGTGAATTAATGATTTAGGTCAAGGATGAAGTAATTGTATTAAATTCCAACAAAAAATAAATTAGTTGATGTACAGAATCAAATATATATGTTCGATAAATATTCCTTAATTATTTTAAATGGTTGCTTAGTTTGACAATTGTATGGTTTTTGCATATCATGCATAGATTGATCAATATTATTATTTAATATTGACCATTCAAAAAACTAAAATTAACTCTAATTATTAGCATTTGAGTAGTGTGCTACGTAAATTGAAATGAGAATAAGCATTTGAATCTAAGTCGATCTAATTTTATCACTTCAAATAAATAAAATAAATGTACAATGTTTAAATATTGTATTTCATTTTATGAAATCCTAGCTAATGACCAACTGTCAAATATCCCAGAGAAAATACATAACCTCAATGACCTGAAAGGAAAAGAACACCAGTGGTGCGTATTATATGTTTTTCATAATTTTCTAATTAATAATTAATTCATTCACTAAATACTTGGATGTGACCGAAGCTTTAAATGTGAGGGTTATTGATACGACTCGGTTACCCGAACTGAAGTTGGTAGGGTGAGATTCAGTGGCTGAAAGCTGAACCACCAAGCCGCGGTTTCACATTTATTCTATCTACTGTTCGTTTCTGTCCATAAATTTCGCTGTACCGCAAATTATAATTTATTAATGATCACCTTGATCCTCTTAATCAACACTACCTGATAAACAGTGAACAAGGTAGCATCACCACAATTACGACACTGGGAAAGTGGTTGTGTTTAAAAGTAGTAATTATTCAAGTTGAGTGAAGAGTTTTCGAAATCAATTTGTGTATTGTGGTTGCGAGAAAAATATCAGGTGATAAAACGCTATCTACCACCACCTGATTATCTGTCCTACTGACATTAAGTTGTAGTGTAAAATTTATTCTTTTAACTTTCATTTGTGTCACGTTGAATAATTCAAGTATGTGGGAAAAAATATCCTTCAAGAATTTCATTAATGATTAATCTACTCTCAGGACTACACAAGTCAATATTTGAAGTAGATGCTGATGTTATCTAGGACCATAATGGATCCCTCTCATTTAAGCCATTGAGCTCAGAGAATGCAATATAAATGTAAAGCTTTAGTATGCTGCGAAATAAGAAATAGGGTAAGTCTACAGCGCGTTCCTTGGTTTACAGGAAAACAAACTGGATACAACCATTTCAGTAAACAAGCATATTTCTGTAACCTTTATTTTTGAAATAACAAAGTCGGGTAAATATAACTGTTGTAATTCGATGTTACTTACGTAATCACAGATTGTACACGTCTGGTCGATAGATGAAAAGTGATGTACGAACAACTCAAACGTTACTGGCGCGATTACAGATTAGTTTAGGTTTTTACAAAATTATTTATTGTTACTGACGTGTCCGAACGGACACTTTGCTCACGAAACCGATCCTAAATCACAGCGAAATAGAGGATGGAAAAACCCTAACCCACTGACTAAGCAGATGACTGTGTATTAGTTACTTGTTCGTTAACTAAAACGCAATCGAGGATGAAAATGTAAGTTACAAAACGCTCAACGATTACTTACTTCTACCCATAATATACATTTGTCTGTCCAATGTATTTGCTACCACAGTTAACTGCCTCTCTTTAGGCAATAAGAACTAATTAGCTCCATTGTACGTCACTAATTATCTTCATTATCGTATTCGTATCAAAGTTATCTTCAGGTGAAAATTCATCACTTTTTGTATCAGATTATCTCACTAACAATGGCACAGTGTTCTGGCTCCATAACGAATTATGAAGGAATGAATCGTAAACATAAATTCTCCATTTGATTTCGTATATATTAATCGAGCGAACCCCATTTGGGCGATGGTTATAAAAAGCCAAAAATGAATGAAGTTGGAAGAACTGATTTCAGACGTTCGCTTACGTAGACAGACGATGAGATATGCGATGTGAAGAAGGCAAATGCACGTGCTCAATTTACTTAAAGCGACTTAATGCTCAGAGATATGAAAGATACAAGTAAGCATACCTGATGTTATACGTTATAGCAACTATCTTACATCCAATTTCGATGATGGTTAACAGACAATGTTATTTTGAACAGTAGCAATTCGCATATTCCTTTGTACTGTTGTGATCACTAGATCACATGACAGACTAGCTAAAATGTTGGTTGCTTAAATTTCACTCGATGATTCATCCTCCTCCCCATGTATATGTGTACTCAAATCCTATTATCAGTTTTTGCTTTGCCTTGCTGCGCCCTACTGTAAATTTGCCCATGTATTTGCTTATATATTTTTACTCGCCTTTCTGCTTCAGATTCGCTTGATGTGCCTATGGCCTTGTGATCTGCACTATCCGCAAATAGACTGCAGTTGCCACTTCTCATTTCCTTCTGACTGCAAACACCGTTGAGATTCATATCATAACGGTTATTAGAGTTATCAATTAACGGAGTGAAGCTACTGTAGTGAACAGAACACTAGTTGGGGACAATCGAATGTATTTAAGCAAAAATTACAGAATATCTCAGTAAATTCTGATAACCAAACAATGAACAGTCAATTTGCAAATTAACAATCAATTGTTTCAATCTTCTCTAATTCCATTGCTCATGCATTTTCCAAACGATTGCACTTCATTTCAGTTCTTTCCTCATCGGTCTTCTGCCAAAATGCATTCTATGTCTGACCCACACCATATACTACTTATATGGATATAAATAGACCACACCACACTACTACAGCCCACATCTCAACGTCACATGTATAAATGAGAAAATGACTGGGGAGATCAGAGAAGGTCATCTCTCCCAAAGCTAAGATCGATCAAAGAGGCTTGTAATAATATCAACTGCAACAACATAATAAACATCGGGAAACAATGGCATAATAAATAACTACAATTTTCCTGTGTCCAATACCAAAGTCTTGCTTTTTTTTAACTATATGTTTACTTGCAACTCAGCTTACGGTATTTTTATTCCAGCTAAATCGTGCTCAAACCACACAGCAAATGAATTTTGTAAATAAGACCTAATAGTTGAAAGTTCCGTGCTTTAAACAATAAATTACTTGTTTAAAATTCCACATATTAAAACACTGATACCAAAGAATATTCTTTTTAATAAATTCTCTTCAAGTTCTACAGTTATATCTCTAATTTATTAGGGTGAGAGAAATAATCAGATCAAATCTTTAGTGTAAAACTATGTAGTGTATAAGTGTTACGTCTGTAAGTTGAACGCTTTATTCAGATCCTAAGCTATTTGGATAACCCCAGGGCTAGCACTACTCAGCGACTTGAAGACCAAAGGAAAGGCACAAAGTGTGCGGGAAGCACTTTATTACAGGGTTCATTTATGTACACAAAATATAGGGATTTTATAGTAATTTAAGAGTCCTTGAGTTTTTACTGAAAGTTCTAGAATACTGCTAAACATAGTAGCAGTGTATAAATCAGCCAATCAGGATCTCTACATGTAACTTTTCCATTTTCGTTATTTTAGTAATATAACTTCACATAACTTCTAATTAATCGCTGATTGATTGAAATGCTCCTTGATGACCCCTGAGCTTGTCATGTCGCTTGAGAGAAAAATGCAGGGTCATCCCAACAATAAATCATGTGAATTCAGTAAGAAATACGAAAGTGGGTTGTGCAGTTGGTTAATGATGTTGAAACAATGATAATAATGGTATAAAGACATATCAATAAAAATAACAACGACAATAATATTAAATAAACAAAGGTCGCATGTGCATTGATTAAGCTAAGTTATTCTATAGTTAATTAATTGACCCTGATGTCTCCCAAATTAGCTGAAGGGATTGAACGCTTTTCTTTTGGCAACATAGTACTGATCCGAACGACTATCACTTCTATTGTATGACAGAATCTAAGTAGGAATGAGTTAGATAGAAAATTACTAACCCAATAAATTATTAAGAATGATTGACATATGCTGGCACTGTGACCAGTTTGCAAAAAATGGGGTAGTATTGAGGTGTTTATTTTTGTAATTTCCTCAAATGTTTATGTGTGAAAATAAAGTCAATCAGCGATTGAAAGAAGATATCTGAAATAGGTTCGAGTATTATATTCTAGAAATTAAGCCTAAGTCGTAATAACAAAGACGCCGATGATTATTATAATGTCTTATAATGTATTTTCAGCTGATAACAATTATTGCTGTTACGTTTTAGAGGGTTACATAATGAGTATAAGATCATCCAACTGTAGTCATTCAAATTAGATTTATTGGTCGATATGGGTTTGTAGTTCAACAAAATTAACCGAATAACAAATAATTCGGCTGACTAAATCTAATATCATTAAAGGAAAAAAATCCAAACTGTAACTGACGCTGGGATTTCCTAAGTGCCATTAGGAATTTGTGACTGGCATAGTTCAACTATGTCGGGTTTGAGATATTTGTATTCCCATAGTATCGGGTGATTTTCATGTCGTATCAGAAATTGACAGAAGTTATAAATGTGGATCATTGAGTTCAAACTCAGTGGTCCAAAGCTAGCTTCACACTCAAGACCTGAAGTTGTTGGGTTCGATTTCTGACAAGACAGTTTCTACATTCTCATGAGAAGTCTGAAATTATGATTTAACAACTATCCAATCCCCTTAGGTTTCTGCTGGTCCTTTTCTCTTATCTAAAATTAAATAAATACTATCTCAACACATACAGGGGTACTGATGTGTTAAAGTAATTGAAAATTGGAACTTAACTGTAAAAAGCTGACTGAACGCTTTATTGCTCATCACCTGTTTATAACGAAATAATTTATACCTGCCAGTCAGATTTCCAACTTCACTGTTTGCGTATAAATAAAGTGTTCGCTTCAAGAAACCCAATATTATATTAAATGTTTATTAATTGTTCATTTGTTCAGATTTTTTGTAGATAATTATGATATGTATATTAATCTGTCACTGAATAGTAACCGACTTCATAATGTCTAACTCTTAGACAAGATCTCATTCAGTCGACTAGCTTTCAACTTCTCAACGAGGTAGGATCACATCAACCTCAGATAAATTTTTCTGCAATCTTCAGGGAAATGAATCTCCTTTTAGTATTTGAACCCTAATCATCCAGTCCCATAGTCAGAGACATCATCGCTCAGCTATTCTATCTTCGATAGTAATATCTTAATAATTTAAATTTCATAAATAATGATCACTTTCGTATATGTAGTTATATGGAAAATATATGTCTATAGGAGGATAGAAAAAATTGCATCATAAATTGATTCGAGGATAAATAACAAATGAGTTTACGTACTAATCAAGGGGTAAGGAAGAAAATAATTTATGGGTGAAATAATAGTTCAATTGACGGATATGAAGAAAAGCGACAAACACAAAGGTCATAATAATAGACTGAATACTAATCAAGAAAACTTGTATAAGGTAAGAATAATAACTGATTAGAGTTTAAAATGCAAAACAGTAATTAAAAAGAACTCGATAATAAGCAAATAACAGTGCAGGAAAACAAGAAAAAGAAGCCAGAAACATACCCATTGAGGGAATCAGTACCAAGGAAGAGTGAGGTTGGACAAATTGTTTCTGCACGCGAAGTTCAGGTTTGAGTTCGTGCATTGTCGATGCCTCAGCAGTGCATAAAATATTGAATCGAACCACTTTCGATCCAGTTCCTTTGACTCCGTAGATTAATCTAGAAGAACGGTCCTTTGGAGCGATGTGTCCATAGTTAATTAAATGCTCCTGTGTCGAATTAGTAATTGTTTTACATTCTCCTTTTAGGAGTTTAGCGGGATAGTGTTTCGAGATGCATTTGGAAAGTGATCGCTTTGTGCGGCATATGTAACGTGCCCCACATGAGCAAGTGAATTTATAGATATACATCGATGTGGCCCAAAGCGGAAGTTTATCCTTAACACATCCCAGAATGGTGGGCCGGCTAAAGAAAACAATTCGGAGCTTAGCTGCCTAAAATGTTTTATTCAACGATTTTGAAATTTGTTTATCTAGAATTTCAGCAACCGTGTCTCCTATAAATCCCATATTCATAAACAGTTTTTTTTCTGTACAGTCGGTGCTTTTTCATAATGAAGTCTAAGTGTTAAGTTGCTATCGACGAATCTAGGTGGGTAACCATTTCTGATGAGGATCTGTTGAAGATGAAATAGTACAGAAAACATCGCTCCAAAGGACCGTTCTTCTAGATTAATCTACGGAGTCAAAGGAACTGGATCGAAAGTGGTTCGATTCAATATTTTATGCACTGCTGAGGCATCGACAATGCACGAACTCAAACCTGAACTTCGCGTGCAGAAACAATTTGTCCAACCTCACTCTTCCTTGGTACTGATTCCCTCAATGGGTATGTTTCTGGCTTCTTTTTCTTGTTTTCCTGCACTGTTATTTGCTTATTATCGAGTTCTTTTTAATTACTGTTTTGCATTTTAAACTCTAATCAGTTATTATTCTTACCTTATACAAGTTTTCTTGATTAGTATTCAGTCTATTATTATGACCTTTGTGTTTGTCGCTTTTCTTCATATCCGTCAATTGAACTATTATTTCACCCATAAATTATTTTCTTCCTTACCCCTTGATTAGTACGTAAACTCATTTGTTATTTATCCTCGAATCAATTTATGATGCAATTTTTTCTATCCTCCTATAGACATATTTTCCATATAACATATACGAATGTACAGCTTAAGTAAATGATTTCGTTGAAAAGAAAATTTTCTTCACTGAATTCTCTTTTTCTTATTCGTTGACACTATGGCTTATTTAAATGATCACTTGTTCAAAGCATATCTTTGAGTAATATCAATCGATCAAGATCGACCCAGTATTTTAATCAAGAAACATCATGTTCTCAGTACAATATTAATGAAAATAAACACTTTACGAAAAGATTTCGTAATGACTTATCATATTCCTTAAGTTTTGTAAGTTGTGGTGGTTGATTTTCTTAAAACGAGAAGCAAATGGTTCTTCGTTTGATTCAAGTTCAAGATGAAATTTATTTAAGGTGAAAATTCCCATTTTGACATTTGTTAATTAAAAAAGGAACGAATCGAGCGAAGAAATTTCTTTTCAATTAGTTTTTCATCATGGCTCTACACTAATATATATATGATTTACAATAATTAAATAACACTCATGGAGTAGATACGTTACGTAATGATTATATAATGACATCGACTATAAACTAACATTAATTGGAAGAGAAGGATTAATACTAATCAAAGTTATTATTCGAAAATCAAGCGTTTGCTACGTTGCATAATATATAAAAAAGAGAAGTAAGAACTAAAAAATTTTGATGAATGGTCAGTAATATAGT